AAAAAGCCCTTTTTGTTGTCCTTCACAGTGCTGGCCAGCTTGAACTCTAATCGAACTTCGGCTGCACTGATTTTCTCCCTACAGTGTTGAACAGCATCCCTGTAGTCCTCCCGTGTCGCCTGTCCTTGCTTCCAATGTCCATACACTTTCCTTTTCTGCCTAAGTTCTAGAAGATCCCTGCTCAGCCAAGCCGGCCTTCTGCCCTGCTTGCTTGACTTCTGACACTTTGGAATTGCCTGCTCCTGTGCTCTTGAAAGATGGCTCTTAAAAAGTGACCCCATTCATGGACCTCAATACCTTCAAAAGCAGATTCCCAGGGGACCTTACTAACTCCTACTAACTAACTTACTAGCTCCTTCAGCAGCCCAAAGTCTGCTCTCCCCATATCCATGGTCAAAGTTTTCCTGGCAGTTTTTCTCCTATCACCAACAATTTGAAACTCAACTACTTCGTGGTCACTGTGACCAAGCCAGCCACCAATCACCATTTCACCCACAAACTACAAATCTAGGAGGGCACCTTTCCTAGTTGGTTCCCTCAGTACCTGCGCCAAGAAGTTATCTTCAACGTGCTTCAGAAATTTCCTGGACCTGTTTGTGTCTGCTATATGATATTCCCAGTTGATGTCTGGGAAGTTAAAATCACCCATAAGGCCAAGGGCAGTTGAACTAGAGATATCCCTTAATTCCTTGTAGAATAATTCATCGGTGTCGTCGTCCTGGCTGGGTGGTCGATAGTAGACCCCCACAACAACATCCACTAATATATATATATGAATTAATATATATATTAAAAAAAGTAACTTTTTACTTATACATGTAAATTATGCCATAACACCTCATTCAGAACTGCCAAGCACTGACATCTTCATTGTAACCGTTTCCCTCATTACACAGATAGAAATACAAGGGTCTTTCCAGTGCATCTAAGAGATTAAAAAAATGTTAAAAGAAGGAAAAGTTAAGAATCCTCCATACAAGCTCCCTTAAACCAATAAGATGTTTGAATTAACATCCACAGGATGTTTTCTAGGACAATACAGATGGACTAGGTGAAAAAGAAATTCAGGGTGTTATAGATTTGTCTTTGGGATGATTATTATTTTAGGGTCTTGAAAACCTATTTATGAACTAAGGTTCCATTTCAGTCAGTGCCATACAAATGCAAAACAAACACCATTTCTGCCCCAAAGAATTCTGGCTACTAATTGTAGGTAGAATCTTCATAGAGCAAAAGTCAAGCACCTCCAGTGGGCCATCCTTGGAAATTAGCTGCTTGTTTCATACAAGATTGTTTTGCACTGAAGCAATAGTTATGGGATGCTATACAACAAAAGGAAAGATTCAATACACATCCTAAAGAAAATCTTTTCTTAATCAGACCACAGGGAATGCAGTTAGAGCAAGGGACTGCTGGGAGTAGAAATAGTGTCTGAGAATCATTTTCTGTGGACTGACAAATTTTACATACCTGCTCAGCCAGGATTTTCTTTTTCCCAATTTTATATCATTTTAACTTTATGCTTACTTCTTATGTTTCCCTAGTGCAGTTTGACATGATGCGTGCTTGTAACCTCATTGCCACTGTTGCTCTGACTGCTGGCCAGCTCATCTTCGTCCTGGGCCTGATGGAGCTACCTATCATTTCTCAGGATACCCAGTGGTGGGAGGAAGCCATAGCTGCCGTGTTCCAACTTGCCAGTAAGTCCACTTCTTTTTACTGATGGAAAAATACTTAGTCTCTATTAAATCCAGGTGGAAAAGAGTTTCTTACTTTATAAATCTTTCAAGTGACAAAGAAGAGCAAAAAGGCCTAAATCTAAAAGTAAGCTCATTGCCTCTTAAAAGCTCTCCTCATGAGATTCTACAGTATATGAATAGAAGCTTTTATCTTGGATATATCAGAATGAGTCTTCTGCCAACCAAGAAAAACAAGCCTTTATTATTTCCTATGAAACCAGGAAGGCAAACATGAAAGAAATAAACTAGATGCAATGTAACCCCACAATTTAGCAGTACAAAATATACCAAAGGAACTGTTTGAAAGCAGAGCAGAACAGCTGAGCAAATTTTTGAAGTCTTGCTGAAACTGATTATTTGCTTTTAGCTAACTGAATTTTACTCAATGACCATCAGCTGGATTTTGATAGACAGATACGTCTGCAATCTAGCAAAGAAAGCTGAAGTCAATTCATAACATCGACTGCTATAAATAAAATTCCCACAGTAATGCTCATGGACACAGACTGTATACAGAAACGAATGAGGAAAGGAGGAAATGGTTTTATCACAATTTCCATATTGACAGCAGTGGCAACAAACTGTAAACATTTTGTAATAATACCTTTCTTTACTACATAAAATAAGGCACTCAATGCTCATTACACCAAGAGTCCAATCCTATAAAATATCCATGCATGAAACTCATTAATGGAGTATAACATTCAGGCTGCTTACAAGATCAGATTAAAAATATATCATTATTATTAATGTAAACAGCAGGTTATAATAAAGTAACACCATTTTATTTTAAATTTTAATTTCAACTTTAAAAACTCAGAATATTTAGAATGGTATAAACCTACTGAGACCTCAGGTTTACACTGCTGCAAGATCAGAATCTCGCCTAGGTCACTTAAATACAGTCCTCATAGCAATAAACACCCATTAAGGATGATGAACCTGAAATCCAAACAAGAGGAGGAGACTGCAGAGGTTCTGTAACTCTCAAAGCATCTGATCCAGCTTCCAGGTGCAGCGAGACCGTCAAGCATCAGTCAGTGCTACCAAGAGACAGATATATAGCCTTGCCGTAACAAGACCTTCCTACAGCCTCTTCACGTACACCATGGTCTTTATAACTCTGGATACTTTCTGGATAGTTCTCCCCAATCATCGGTGTGATGCCTGCTTTACTCTCACTCCCTCCCATCCTCTCCAAAACTCGACATGTCTGTTTTTCCCAGAGAGGAAATGCATTCTGGCCCTGTTTAGATGTGTTGTTTCATTGACAAACAGCACAGTGGACAGCCGTGTGCCTTTCTTCTATCAAGGCTGCTAATTTTAGACTAGGGGTTTTTTTTTTTTCTTTTTTTTTTTTTTTCCTGTGCTGGAGTCTGTTTTAAACACAGTCAGAGAGAGACTGAAGGGCGCCAGGATATCCCGACACAGGAGAAGGAAATGCCTGCTATTACCTGTTATGCAAGCTGAACCTTGAAATCCCCAGTGCTGGGAGGGGAGAGGGGAGGAAAGCCAGAGTCAGAATGATTAACAAAACACTAATGAGAATGGCTGAAGAAGCTGTTGAATCGAGGAGTTCGTCTGCCTGCCTGTGTTCAAAAGGTGTGAAGAGATGGATCTGGCAGCTCGTGACAGTTAAAGACAGACATTGCGCTCTATGAATCAAAGGTCTCCCATCTGCAGAAATAATGCAATGACTTTGGTGGCTATCCCTGCCCCCCTTCCCCATCCTCCTTTGCAGTTATGCCACGGTCTCCTTCACAATCATCAGATGGTTTTCTGCCTTGCAGTCGGTAACATGATATTCATTTTACATCTTCATTATCCTAATGAAAGTTTTTTGTTTAAACAAATTCCTTCCTGATATCCAGAACAACCAGCTGAAGTCTTCTGGAATGTATACTTTTGAAAAAAGAGGATTCATCATATGTGCCATTATCCCAATATAAAATAGACTTCTTGGAGACCTCCATAGTTTTCCAGGCCAGTGGTACATCAACTGCTGACTACGTGGGTAACCAAGGGTCTGCACTCACAGGACAGGCGGTTCAGAGTCCAGCTTATGCCGACAAAAGAGGTTGTTTCCTCTTTCACAGAACCCAGCGTGTGCTCTGTAATATTGAGCCACTCAAACTGGCCACAAAAATCAGCCCCATCCACCAAATTCCCTGGATTGGGCCCAGACGACAGCATTTTACAGCTGAAACGTCTTTGATATCAGACAAAACACATGTGCAAACTGTGAGCAAGTCCAGCATTTCTGTTGCTCTGATGAAGGATTGCTGCTACATCTAGAGGCCAAGATTTCTTTATTGAAGGGGAGGAAAGTGGCTGCCCCTTATCCTGTAAGCCACAGGTAATACTCAGCCTCTGAGCCTCCACTCCAAGATGGTAACCTCTCATCTATTTTCAAAGTAAAATAGCAATATTAGGCAGAAATGTCAGAACAGCGGATACGAAGCTTGTATTTAAAAGCACTTTGTCCATGCAAAACAGCCCGAGAGAAATCACTGTGAAGCTCTCCCCTACTTCATTTTAAGGGTTAAAGCCAATGTACTTCAGGCCAGACAGATCATTTGTGTGAGAAGAGCAAACAATATTTAAGAATATACACACTTAGATCTTATTAAATAACTCGAGTACTGGCTGGGTGATTTCTGTTTATTACACTTTCAAATACGTTACTGAAAACACAAGCACTCACCTCCCTTTTTTTCCATTTCAAAATCCAAATCATCTGGAGAATTGTTCTGCAATTGCTCATCCTGTCAGTAATTTCAGAAAAAATTCTCTTGAATCATGTCCCCTCTAATTCCAACTTCTGTTTGATCTCTAACTTCCATCCTGGAATATGCCAAGAAGTGCTGAAGAGAACTGCAATGGTCACTGGTAGAATAAAATCTAATATTATGGAGGAAGGCTTGAGTATATGGCTCAGAATCATAAGTCAACCTACAATTTACTTATTTTTAGTCAGAGTTTACCCACTGAAACATTACGTGTGGGTTTCATTAGAGTTTCCCAAGGTCTGAACAAAAGTCCTTTTTCTTTTAGAAAACTAAGTGTACTAAGTATTATCTTCCAAACCCTATCACAAGTTCAAATCTACCATCTCTGATCCCACTAGAGCTTGCAATCACTCCAGGCTCCACTGCTTTTTCACTGCTGCCACCTGCACAAGCATTTGACAGTCATTCAAAAAGGATGGACCTCTGACAGAAAATAAAGCCCCAGGAAGCAAAGAGGAAGGAAAGAAGAGAGGAAACAGCATTGCTCCTGGGACAGCAATGGGATTCACACAGCTCCAAAGCTCCGCAACCTCACATCTCCCAGTTAACAGGAAAGCGAGCTGTTTGCTTTGGAAAAGGCATGTGGTGAAAATGGAACCAGCGTCGTATGTGGAATTTTGTGTCAATGCTCAGAAGTTTCCCTCTAGAGAGTTTTGGGTTTTCTGGTTTTTTTCCAAGGAACTGTTACAAACTCAGTGTGGTGAATATAGGATGGATAACAGAGCTGACAGAAGAGCAGTTGGAAAGGGAAATCCATACTAACAGGATAGGGAATAAAGGGCACTGCAGAGAATACTGAACTACTACAAGCAGTAACCTGCCAGACTGGATCAGACCTTAAGGGACTCTAGCTAAGTCTCCAATCTTGTACAATGGTGATTATCACAGACTTTAGAGTTAAATGTTAGAAACATAATGGGGAAAATCCAGGATAAAATATCCCTTACATTAGATCTCATCCTAGTTTCTGAAAGTGCAAGATTGGAATAAACCTGAATCATGATGATTAATATTCTTGCCAACCCATTTTCAGCATTAAATTACTTTAATACATAATATCCTGAAGATTAAAAAGTTTTGTGTTCCTACTGAGCTTGTCATTTACAGCCAAATAAGTTACAATCTCACCTCTCTCTCGAATTTCAAGCATTGCATTCCAGCTTTTCCTACCGTGTTTTTCTGCTGACGGTGTATTTCACTCCAGACCCCTAACGCATCACAGGAAATCTGAGTTCAAGCATACTCTCATCTCTGTGCTATTAAACCTAAATCAAACAATTGTTAGACCATTTACCTTCTCTCCTCTTTCTGGGTACTACAACTTTAGATTGGTTGATATCCAGAAAATCTTAATGCAGAACAGACCAGCAAAGCAGCCATTGGAGAATACAGCTGAAGATATTCATGATAGCAATGTGATCCTGATTTCTGTATTACTTCCTTCCACCTTTTTCCTTCACAACACCCTCAAGCCAGATCTGTTCTAAGATGAAATCTATGGAGCTGTAAACCTAATACTTCCTGAAATGGAAGCAAATAAATGAGACACTGTAAATAACCTAAAAATCATAACAAAAAGAGAGAACTTGACTGCTTGATTTGTGCTAAATGTTTTCATTATTTCTCCTCAGTGCCAAACTTGCACACTCTTTATGTGGACTGCAAACCTCACAATAAAATGATCTTGTTTTCACACGTTTGCAAAATGAACCGCATTTGCAAAGATCTTAAAATATGGAAGCCTACCCCACTTATTTTGACTGAAATGGTTCATGTAAGCAGCTGAACCAGCAAACTGAGAAGGGCAGTAGCTCACAAGAAGTGTGTTGAACTCTTCAACTGGTATAACTGCAGCAGGGAGAAGATCTGCGTATATTCTTGTTGTCTAAATACTGATATGAGCAGCAGGCGATTTGTTGTAGCATCTCAATGTCAAGGGCATGTATTCTGATTAGAAATACAGTAACAAATATATTCCCAGATAAATATCATTTGGCTATGCAAGTATAAGGAACATGTTTTATTACAGACACAGCATTAGAAATAATGCAGTAATGCAGAAAGAAGCGTGTGAAATGAAGAGTTCTTCAATTCAAATATTCACTTTATTGCTTATGAACATGCATATTATATAGACATGAAGATGTCTCCTAAAAAAGTTTCAAACTGAGT